AGATTTAAATCTAAGACTTTATTCAACTTCTAATTTTTAAGTTAATCTTAGTGGTTCAATACAAATTTCCTTTGATTGTGGGTGACATATGTTGTTCGGTTATATTTTTTCGATGTAAACACCAAATGTTTTATAAAGTTCAATGAAAAATATTAATTAGAATAAACTTATGTAATATAATTGTATGTAGGAGGTAAAGTGTACCTGTTTAGAATTTAATGAATATACTTGTTTTTTATTTTATACATAAAACTTACTAAAATTTAATCATACCGGACAAACTTATGTAATTCTTAAATTGTATCATTTTAGGTTAGATCTGTTACACGAATGACAATATGGTATTATTCAATTCAACAAAAGAATAAATTCTTAAATATTTATTATAAGCTTTTTTTTTTTTAACAATTCATAAGATTTTCCCTTAACTACTTCTCTTAACGTCTTCGTTACTCTCCCTCTTTACATAGTAAAAAATCTTATAATTTATTCTTGTTATTAATATTTTTATTGACTTTTTTCGTATGTGTTCAAACCATCTTAATTGATTTTCTATATTTTTTTTTATTAATCAGTACTATATCAATATTTCCACCGAAATTGTTTCGTATTTTATTTACTATTTCTTTAAAGTCAAATGTAATACATGCTTTATAAGGTTCACTAAAATTTTATTATACAAGCCAAACTAATAAAATATGACGATATGTGCACAGATTTAAAGTGTACACGGCTAATTATATTGGTTCATCCCAATGATTGGTGGATTGGGGGTAGAATTAAGAGAAAGATATACGAAAATGAAAAATGTAAAAAAGTGATTAGATATAATAGATTATGGATAAAAAAATAAAATAAAAGTGGTGATAAAAGAAAATGGAAATGGGATAGAAGAAAAAATTGGATCGCTGATGAGGATATTAGTGTAACACTTTATGAGATTAGTTGTTAAAAAATTTTCCTTAAGTAAATATAATTTTTTTTGAGTAGATTGGTGAGTTTTTTTTTTTGTAAATTTTTAGTCAATGTTAAAGTAAAGTATAAAGTTGAGTACTAAAATTCTTAATTGATTACGGAAAAGGTATGTAGTATCGTAAGGATAGTTAACTAAGTTGAAATGCATAGGAGACTTGGTTAATATATGTCAATATCGTGGTAAGTTTGTATCCAAGTTATGTTATACCCAATGATAGTACTAAACTTTTCTAATTTAAATAACATTTGAAGAATCATATGTAATAATTGATGTCCTAATTTAATTGTCAATATAACAAACGAGTAAGACATGAAAATGATCAATTAATTTTTTTTTAAACATTTGCAAACTTAATTTATACATTAAAAACTTTTAATTTAATAATTAGATTGCTAAAATTTGAGAGGAGTAAAATTATCAACTTACTCTTAAAGTGAGTGGTTTCATTATACATATACATATACATACATACATACATATATATATACATACACACACACACACACACACATATATATATATATATATATATATATATATAGGGGAATGCTAATATATTCCCACCTATTTTTTAGTGGGAGTATGTTAGCAATCTATACTAAAATTTTAGGACAAAAAAATTATAAAGGATATTATAGTAATTTAATTTAATTTTAAATGAAAATAAAATATTTTCTCTCTCTTATTAACTTCATTCTCCAATTCATTTATTTTTTCTAATTAATTAATTTTTATTTGTTCAGAGAAAAAAGGGAGAGACATCATGAGAGATGAAAGAGAAATGAGTTAAAGAAAAAATTTAATAGGAGAGAGATAAATATGTTAGAGAAAAAATTTAATAGGAAAGATAAATGAGTTGGAGAAGAAATTTAATAAGAGAGAGAAATGACTTAGAGAATGAAGTTAATAAGAGAGAGGAAATATTTTATTTTCATTTAAAATAAAATTAAATTACTATAATATCTTTTATACAAATTAACCAAATCAAAAGAAATTAGTGATTTTTTTGTCTTAAAATTTTAGTGTAGGTTGCTAACATACTCTCACTAAAAAATAGGTGAAAGTATATTAGCATTCCCCATATATATATATATATAATCAAATAATTTTTAATTCATCAAAACATAAAATATTCATATTTTAGAATATGTTTAAAATGAGATAGTAAACATTTTGCTACTTGGGGCCAACAAATTTGCTACATATTTGATATGTTTAAAATTTTACCCAATTCTTAACATTTTATAATACTTTTTTAGTGCAATCAATGTTAGTTTTTTTTTAATTTTATATATTTCATTTTTAGGTTAAAATATTTTTTTTATTTATTATAAATTTACTTACTTTATCTTTTAATTTTTATAATTTAAAATAAAATATTTTTAATTTATATACTTATCTTTTTTAATCATTTTAATTTTTTATAATTTAATATAATTTTTTTTAATTTCTATAATTTAAAATAAATCTTTTTAGTCTATTTTATGTTGACGTGATGGATGTATTCAATTTTGTGAATGTAAAAAAAAATATCTTTATAATAAATGTCGCAGATGAAAATACAAAAGGATATAATGTCATGGAAAATTAACAACAAGTACTAAAAAATTGCAAGTATAAAAATTAAAAAAATCTATCTAAAACTATAAAGATTAAAAAATTGAAATAGATAAATATAGATAAAAGAAACAAAAAGTTTATTTTAAATTATAGAAATTAAAAAATAAAATAAATGAGACTTTGTGGAATAGAGTATTAATAAATAATAGTAACATAAATGAGTGTTAATTTTGTGGATTTGACTGATCAAACACTTTAAAAAAATTGTCATATAGTAACACACATCCTATAGTGACACACACCTTATAGTGATAATATGTGTCAATAAAAACTATTTTTATCCACATAATATATATAATATATTATGGTATATTATTAAAAAGTATGAGTATAAACTATAGTGACATACAAAACATGTTATTAAATCTTATTTAAAATCAACATTAAAATTATATGTAACTATATGTTAAATAAATATATATTATATGTATAGTGATAATTTTTTGTATATCATTATATATAATATTTCTTGTAGTGCAAGCCAAAAAGGGAAGGTGGGTTCTGATCAGGATTTGCAACTGAGTAAATACAAGTTGCATGGAAATGAGAAACCAAGAATGTAAGCTAAGATGACACCTTTTCCTTTTTAAAATGCGAAACTTCTCAACTTGAAAGATCATCAAATATTCTTTCGTTTAAAGTTAAATATTAGTATAGAAGAAAAAAAAGTTATATATTAGTCTATCTGTTTAATTGAAGAAAAAAAATTAACCTTATTTTTATTAGCGTAATTGCATCACTTACTCCGAAAATTTTAATTTATATAACTATCTACCAGCACTCAACTTAGTTAGCATTAGTTTTTCATATCGGAACAATAAAAAAACAGCTATGTATATTAACAATGAAGTCTTATCATACATCATAAATAAGTTAAAATTTACTTTTTCAATTGCCTCATAAATAGAGATTTATTTCAATATTGAACATAAAAATATACAATTTTAAATGGAATGCACTCAATGGAGAACAAAAGTAATTTCAATGATTATTTAAAAATCAAAATATAACAAGGTTTTATACAAAATTATATTAAGAATTTCACATTATAATGCGTTAATTTATTCAAACAAGATATCTTTACCTTTGAAATATATGGCACGTACGGTACCCTCAAGAAATAGACTATTTCAAAGATTATATATCGAAGAAGACTATTGACTTCACTTTTTTAATTTTTTAATTTTTATTTTTTACGATGACTCTCGACATTGATAATGTGGTTGATTGGCGTAAACTTGGGTATGGAAAAAAATTGTCAATGAAGCCTCAGTCATGGAATTAGGACAGCCAAACAAGACAGACACGAACATTTTGGAATTTTCCTGAACACGCGCTTAATTAGGACGAAGTCACGTTGTCGCAATTCCAATTATAGAATCATTTCCTTTTTGAAGAAAATGGCAAAATACATTCCATGGCAATGATAAATAAAAAAAATTACGCCAAAAAATTTAATTATATTTTCGCCATTCAAAATCATTTAAAGGTTTCTTATATGATTTTCAATCTAATAATTTTTTTTTATACATTTCAAAATTGAAAAATTAGCTACGCAGAAACAATTGATTTGTAAGAATAATAATAACGATAATTGAGTTCAAATTTAATTACAATTTTAAACATGCATACTACTTGAACCCTTTAATATTAGGCCAATACTAGTAATTTATGATCGTGTAAAATTTTATTATAAATAATAAATAAAAAAACTAATCTATAAAGATTGTTTTACAATGTGTGAAAATGTTTTAAAAAATTAAAATAATTTTAAATTCGATCTCAAGATTAAAAATATGTGTATAAAAAAAAAAAAAGTCCACTCTTCTCTCGTATTTTAAAAAATTAACATGCTCTCCCTCAACAAATAAGAGACTATTCTAGAAAGAAAAAGAAAAGGAGAAGATCGAAATCATTGTTTAAATATATGTATAAGTGGGGGGATATTGAAGTTCTGCCCTGGCTCCCGAATCCAAATTGCAGAAAACATAAGTTTCTGGCAGATGAAGCTTCATCATATATTGCCAATTTTTATCCCCAAGCCCTAATACTATATATGAATAATTAGAAATGAAAACTCTATGATATTGGTAGCTAGGTTTGCAGTCATGTTTTCGAATTTTTATAATAACTGTGAAACATTTAGTGATCATGAGTTTGTTCATGACAAATTCATATTCCACACATGCAATTCGTTTTGCCTAGAGATAAACATGTAACGCATAAACCATGTGAAAGCTAGCTCTAGCTAGAAGAAGCATTGATGAAACTAATGAAGTAGAAGGGTTTGGATGGTATTCAGTTATTGTTTTTTAATCAAAAGAAATGCATATATAGCAAAAGCAAAAACATGCATATACATATATGCAAGTAGATTGGAAGGTAAATAAATAAATAAACTTACAGTATCGTTGTGAGAAATCCCTAAGTTAACCAAAGCAGAAGCAAGCTTTAGGCATCTTTGATGGGTTTGTCTCCAACAAAATCTAACATTATGATCGTAGATGATGGAGATCTCATCACCATAGGAATTGGCCGCATGTTCCAGGAAACTGATCGGTGACAGTGGTACGAGGTCTTCTTCACTCATCGTCAATGGATCTAAAATCAATTGCTTAGATATAGTATAAGCTTAAATAACTTATAATATAGGTAGAGACATATATATATATGAATATGAATTGGGTTTTGGTGAATTCCGAGTCAGCAGAGTGATATAAATATTTTGCATAAATTGATTTTTTATAGTTGGGTTGACAAATTAAAAGAAACTAGCCTTTGTTTAAATTAAATGTATCTAACGTGTCGAAAGGTTCTAGATAAAGACGCAAGCTATAGCGTGATGAATGGAGCATGCATCACCACTTCTGATCTCATTAATATTCCTTGTGGCCTGTGAATTCATCACCACCATCAACTTTCAAAAATGCTTGCGTGTTACAGTATGTTCATCAGAATTAATTAAATACAAAAAGAATGCTTCATCCTTATTCTCATATATATCTTAGTTCTTTTTGTCTTTTTTTAATCTTTCAAAACAATACACATTTATTAAGGGACTAAAGATTTTTCTTTTGACTAGAAAACATTTAAATTAAGGTAAAATATCATTCCATATAAGATCATAATCAATAACTAACCTCTTTGAAACTATTTATCCATCTCTAACACAAATTCATATAAAATGATATAAAGTGTAAGAGAAATCGAAGTTGATGTCAAATTCGAACAGGTAGAAATAAAAAGATTTAACTAATTATATTATCTTGTGAAATCAAATGATTAAAGATTTGGGATGAAGAGTGTAGTTGGAATGATGAGTCTAAAAATTTGCATATATTAATATATTATGACAGAAGAACAAAAGTAATTATTTTGATAATATTATTTTTATGGGTATTTTAAGTATTTAATTATGCTATTCAAATATTAATTATTTTTATGATATTAACTATATTTTTCTAATTTATTAATAACACTTTATATTTTTGTTTTAATAATAATAATAATCACTTTTTATGTTAATTTTTTTAAATATATATTTAGATAATAAAAAAATTATTTTTTAAAATTTCACACGAATTTACTCATTAAAAATAGAATTAAATTCACATATATTATTACAATATTCTCTTAAACCTACTCAATTCCTTCTTTTAAATATACATTTTCTAAAAATTTCATAATAATTCCTCCCGTACCTACACTTAAGTCCTGTACCTGTGTACGTATACCTCCCCTTTCTGGTTTCTTCTCCATTTCTGTACTGTACATCACTACTTTCCAAACAAACAGAACTTTTCATTTTTAGAATATTTTTCCAATTTTAAAATATGTCCAAAATTAATAATATCAAATTCAGTTGGGGTGAGCAACGGGTGAGTTTGGTCGGGTTCGGGTGAAAAATGTCCAACCCGTTGTAAACCGGCTTTGAAAAAATGTGACCCATATCCGCCCGACTGAGCTTTCGATTTGAGGCGGTTCGGGTTGAAACGGATTCGGATTTAAGCGGGTGGGTATAATCGGGTTTGAATTTTTTTGTAGACCAATTTATCTTAACGAAGATGAAGCTTAAAACGATAAAAAATATTTTTAAAATAGTGTATAAAAATAGAATGAAGGTGACAATAGATGGTGTAAATAGATTCGTAGTTGAAACATTTACAAACTAAAGAAGCAAAAATAAAAGATAACAAAATTCATAGTTGTTACATGGAAAAGAAATATAAAGTTAGATTACAAAACCATAAGAAATCACAGTCACACAAAATGTACTCAAAATGGAGATAAGAAGATGGAAAAGAAAGACAAAGAAAGAAGCAAAAAGATAACTCTAAAAATGGACTAGTGTGTTGAGAAGTTGAATGAGGAAGGAGAAGACAAAATTAATATTTAAGTTATGAGAAAAAAGAAAAAAATAAGTTACAAATTGATGGCTATATTATACTTGAAATAAAGACTTTTAAATTTGGACCATTGTTGTTTAGTTATACAAAAGTAATAAAAATTTAAACTTATCTCATTTTCGGTTGGGTTCGATTTTTAGCGGGTTTAAAAATTCAAAACCGAACCCGCCCAATATAACCCGTATAAAATTAAAATTTTAACCCGATTTACCCATAAGACCCGCCGGAACCCACTCAAAAGCAATATTTTTTTTCAAGTTTTTCGGGTTCGGTTCGGATGTCGGTTTAATGCTCATCCCTAAAATTCAAAATGAATTAAATGAGGGTGCAGTGCTTTTCTTGGTGTACGTAATAAAGCACAAATTCCCATAACTCCATAACTTTATAATTAATGTACGTTCTGTAGCTTTTGTTATCCAAGTCTTATTTTTCAATTCAAATTTTAATATTTTATTCTTATCTCTTACATCTTCCCTCATTCATTTCCTCGATTTAATAAATAAAATGCAAATTTTCAAATAAATAAGTGAAAAATTTGTAATGAATTCAAATAATTATTAATTATTTTGTGAGTTTGAATGGCATGCTAATTAAGACATTGTTCCCACTGTTTTTTTTTTAGCTTTCAAAATATATCTGACTCAATTCAAATTTTATTTATTTTTTTATTTTTTAACTCATTTATGTTCTTTTTCTCGGGCCATGTTTAGTAATGAACAAATATAAAAATAAATATAATAAAGTTAAAATGTTGGTATTATTTGGTAAGAGAAATTGTGAAGAATTATGATGAAAATAAGATAAAATTCACGTAAAACAAAATTCCTCATATGTGATGCCAAAAAAATATGAAAAGTTAAGAATGAGAGAAATATGGGTAAAGTTAATTTTATAATAATAAAACAATGTTATTATTAATAAATTCTTAATATATTTTTTATTTATTTATTTTTATCAAACAAATTTTACTTCTATTATATTTTTTTTACATATTTTTGTACACTTCTTTGTACTTTTTTTTTTCTTTTCACTTTTTTCCTCTTTACCAATAACAAGCTTATTTATATTTTTTCTTAATTTATATATGAATAAAAAGTATTTAAAATTTTATATTTTAAATATAATTTTTTTAATTGAGTTGATTATATTTAAATTTTTATTTTAAAAATACTCTTTAAATTAAATACAATTATTATTTTTGATAAATATTATTAAAATAACTTAAGAAGTAAAGTTTAAATTTTTTATGAAATTAATATAATTAAATGAGTATAACTCATTTTTTAATATGTGTAAATTTAAATATTTTTATTTATATATGAGTCCATAATTTCTTTAACCGGACACATTTTAATTTCTTTTTCCATTTTTTTCATTCTTTTATGGCTAAACGACCATTGTGGTGCACTTTTAGAAACAATATACCATAATGGGGCTGTTTTGAAATATTTTACACTTTTGGGACTGTTTTATTGGGTGTCGCTATGGCCCATAGCGACACCCATGACACGTGGTTTTTTTTTTTTTTTGCTTGGTTGGGCTGGATCAGTGTCGCTATAGGCTGGCCCACCACAGCTGATGAGCTTAAAAAAATTATGTAGCCCATAGCGACACTAAGTAAAGAAAAAAATAAAATAAAAAACAAAAATAATAATAATGTAAAATAAACATAATAAACTGAACTATTTATTATATAATTATAAAAAGAAAATTAAGTTTTATAAAACTGTAATTTTAAAATAAATAATATGTATTTTTTTAAAATGGCGCTATGGGCCATAGCGCCGGAGTGGAGCTATGGGCCATAGCGCCCCAATTTTTATTTTATTTTTATTCGTTTTTAAATTATTTTTTACATTATATTACTTATATTTTTTAAACTTACAATTTTTTCTTATTTCAATCCTTTTTTTCCCTTTTGCCCGTTATTTTTTTATAAATTTCTAAACAAATATTATATTTAAAAAATATTAGATATATTTTTTAAACTAGCGTTATGGGCCATAGCGCCTAGGGGTAGGTATATGGACTTGAGTCCGCGGATCGGTCCGTAAGTCCGCGGACTTCACGGATAATGGACCCATTTTTTTTAATCCGTATAATCATACGAATTTTTTAGGTCCGGTCCGTTTAGTCCGCGGATTTTGCGGATTTAATCCGCGAGCCCGCGGATTACCTGTTGAAATGTGGACTCAAATTTTATTATTGAAGATGCTTGATTATATTTGATAGATGTAATTGGACTTACAAATATTTTATGTTTGTTTTTAAGATATTAATTAAGACTTTGATGTTTTAAGGTATTTAGACTTTGATGTACTTGGACTTACAAATGTTTTATATTTGTTTGGTTGTGTATTAAGACTTTTAAAGTTTTAAGGTAGTAAGGCTTTAATATTTGGTTAATAGTTGGTATGCTTGGACTTTAAATTTTAAAGGCATTGAGACTTAAATATTTCTATTAGAAATTTAGAATGTGTAAACTTTGTTATTTAAGACTTTGATTTATTATTTACAATGTTTGATGTTATTATTAGAAGTATATTTATATCATTTTATATGTTTTTTTTTTCCTCATGTTTTCATAGGTTAAATAAAGGAAAAGAAATTTAAAATCTGAGTCAATATTCATTTAAACAATTTAGATTTAATTGGGCCCGCGGACTTATCCGTTTATCCGCGGGCTTCACGGGTCGGATACGGACTTGAAGATTTAAGTCCATTTATTTCGCGGACCGGATTTATCCGGCCCGTTAAAAATGCGGACTTCGCAAACCGGGCCTTAAACGGGCCGAACCGGTCCGCATACCCACCTCTAATAGCGCCTGAGCGGAGCTATGGCCCATAGCGCCCCAATTGAGTCACTACACTAATATCAATTGGAGTCATCCAGGTGAAGAAGAAATCCCAGGGATGGATGTGACTAATAATTGGTCTATTGACGAAGATTTATATGTTGGATTGGAGTTTGAGAATAAAGATGCAGTAAAGCAAAATGCAATGAGAATGCATCAGAGTTTTTATGTGGTTGAATCGAAAACGACAAAGTGGGTTGTTAGATGTCCAAATGCGCATGATGGATGTGCATGGTACATGAGAGCTATTGAGTCAAAGAAATCTGACAAGTGGAAAGTGACTCAATGGGGTGGACGTCATACATGTTTGAACATGTCTTTGTCACAAGATCATAATAAGTTAGATTCTGAGCTAATTGCATCATTTATACAAGGTAAGTTCTG